TTCTTCTCTTCCTTTTCCTCTAGAGGCCCTTTTTTATATATATATATATATTTCTTTCTTCTCGATATCGCTATGGGCCATTTATTTTTTAATTTATTTTGTCCCAACTTTTCTTTCGGGCCTTTTGAACTCGTATAAAACAATACGAAGTTCCTTTTTACTATCCTCTAAATCTCGAAATTGCCCCCTTTCTATATACCTTTCCTTCGCACCTATGCTTGATTTTTCGCCCATCGGTGCAGAAAGACTTAGCGGGTGCAAAACAAGACATCTGTCTACTTTGTCTGTCTAACATGGCGGGGGGGAATGAACGTGTCGTAATTAGACGAGAGAGGGTTGAGCGGGCACGCAAGGTGAGTAAAATCTTAGCCTGTCCACACGAGACGCTCCACTATTGACCATTTTTTGACGCCGGCGTAAATCGCTGAGCAGATACGTAAAACTCAGTACGCACCTGTTCAGCTTTTTCGCCCGCGTATTGCCAATAGCCGACCGAGTTCTTATCACGTGTCATAATCAGAAAACCTTCTTGCTTACCCGTTTCAATATGGCGTCAGAACCACACAGAGATGAGTTTTTGCTTAGAAATATCATAACTGTATACAGCAATAAAATTATCAGCATTGTTCACGCCATCTTCAGATTTCTCAAACCGTATAAATTTGAAATTCTTATTAAAGGGGAAAACTGTATATCCATATGTTTCACCTATTTATAACACCGTAAGTAATAGTAACCTAAATAAATTAGTTTCTACGAAATTAAAGTTTCTGCCTTACAAAATTCTCCTTAATTATTATAAATATTGGCTACATCATGTGTAATAAAAACCTCTATAAATATCCCAATATTAAATACACCAAAAACTAACTTCAGCAATATAACAACTTCTAAAATAAAGCAGTTGACTGTGAAAGAGTATTCAATAAAATAAAATTACGAAATTTTGGAGGAAAGTTACAACTTGTGCCATACAGCAATCATTTATTGAAGTTTAATTAAATTACCTTTGCAGCGACTTCTACTTGTTACATCATTTTTCACAAACACTGCTATCACAGATAGCTGAGTGGTCAACGCGCTGCTTCGCAAATGGAAAGGTGGCGAGTTCGAACCTCACCCGTAGACAGTATATAATTCAGTCAGCTTTTCTCATTTTGAAACGTGTTTCTTATATTTAATCATGAATCATTATATTCTTAACGCATATTTTATCATGCTCATAATTTCTCATAAACTGTACAAAGTTTGAACCTCATTCTAAATTCAAAAATGAATAAAAAGAAAAACAAAAGATCAAGGAAGGGAGAGTTAAAAAAGCATGAAGTTGGTTTTATTATATTGTGGATGGTGTCTATAAAGAGAATTAAGTAATTTAATTCTCTTTATATACTGTATTCCAAACCAATTTTATAAATACTAATTTTCATACAATATAGAATCTGCAAGTCTGTCAAACTGGTCGATACTCATCCTGCAGTAATTAAAAAACAAGTAATATACAAAAAAAAAAAAAAAAAAAAAAAAAAAAAAAATTCCTACTTAGATCCACAAAGAAAAATTAAAAAATACACACAGAATTTTTTAAAATTAAAAATTTTAATATGTGAAAAAACTGTATTAACATCAAGTGTCTTTCACTAAAAGTTTAAAAAATTGTATTTGAACTTGAGTGGATGAATAAAAAGCATTTTATGTACTCAAAATTTGAACAAGATATAGGGAGTGTGAGCTAATAGTAGGATTTTAATAATTCCGGATATTCATTTCGCAAACGAGGCAGTAAAAAAAAAAAAAAAAAACCTCTTTGAACAAGTCGTTCTAAATAAATCTATCGGACCCATTCTTGCGGGTTTGCCTCTGCTTAATAGTAAAGTTTCAGCTAGATATAAAAAAAAAAGTCATCTGATTCGGACAACTTGCCGCAAACATACAGAAGCACAACGAAGTAATAAGATACAGCTCTGTTGACGCTATATTACAGCGTCACGTGATTTGTGCGCAAAATAATTCTATTGGTTAAACGCACTCTTCGCAAGCGTACTCGTTTGGACGCTTTTACGCTGGTAACGTAAAAGCGCGTTCGTCAGCTACGTTTCGAGCGTACTCGTGTGGATGGGGCTTGACTCATCAGAAGGGAAGGTCCCGAGAAGGCCTCGGATATTTTTGCTATAAATAAGCACGTGGGCAAATTTAACGTTTCGCTCAGATTTTTGTTTTCTTTGCTTTACGCTTGTAACGGCAGGCGCAGATAATCGGGAGTCTACTGTATTGTAAATCGGGTTGGCGGGAGAGCGGTCGAAAATCGGGAGAGTTGGCAACTCTGGAATTAGTTCTCACACAGTATAACACTGCTGGTTAATACTGAATTTTTTTTCTGTACTCATGATAAGCTTTTTACTTTAAACACCTCTCTTAATGTCCAATACCTTATTCTGCAAACATGAAATTTTAAGATTAGGCCAGACTTTACCGACAGTGCTGTGAAATTAGCATAGCAAGATAACTGTGCTTCACAAAATTTAGGGAAGTGTCGTGCAAAATAAGATACAATGACGTCTCAGGAATGGAGTGAGGAGTTCCTACACCGATGATTAGGTGGTAAAAGGTGCAATGCAGCCAGCCCGTTTGTCAAGGTTAGCTTCCAGTGAAAACGGTTTTGACATGAAACCTGTAATACTTTGTTATGAAATGATGCATCAAGGAATTCTACTTTAACAAGTTGCATAATCATGAATAAATCTTGTGAATTCCATATTACCTCTCTAGAAGTTTCAGTGTAGCTGCAAATAAGAATATAACTTCAGGATTCCTTACTAAAAAATTTTGCCCACGAATTCAAATGTGCATATTTTTTCCTCAGGGCTCTGTCATTCACTTCATTGTAGAACATATCTTGAGTGATTTTTTGTTGCTAATGTTATGGTTTCATGTTCTTTATTTATGTAGAAACTGCATATTTGCCACAGTGAACTTACCACCTTTTACATCTAGCCCATAGACCAAAACATGATCTCGAACTCCAAAATATTATAAACTAAAGTATTTATTAAAGAGAACTGGCCCTAAGAAATTCTAGAAGGATCACTGCATAATAATCATTGAAAAAGCATCCTGCTTTCAGAAACTATCTTACATCGTATCTCTCACCAAGCCAATGAGTTAGTGGGCAATGATAACAGAACTTCACTCACAAGCAGATGATTTCTTTATAGAAAAGATGAATGAACCTTACTTAGGAGTTTGCATACTCCTAAGAAAGTTCCTACTGCTTTGCTACTCAATTTATGAAATTTTCTCCCAAAGTAACCTATTGGATTACATAATGAAGAATATCACCCCCTTCCAAATGCATTATTTCCTCTTAACATTTTCACAGGGGGATAGAACATATATTACAAGCAAGTTGTAGATGCACTGGGGCCTCAGGATACTATTTTTGTCAGTCACAGCAGGTAGAAATTCTAGTGCTTAAGGACTTTTACGATAGCCTGGAGATTGCATTCTTTTGTTGCAGCCCATTAATGGGTAAGAGAAAATTATCCGTCTTTCAAACCCACCTGGCATGCTAAGAGTTTAATTTTCTATGTTAAATGTTTTGTTGAAGGAAAGAATTTACTTCTTTTTAATAATATTTACCTTTTAAAATTAACCTTGATTGTTGCAAATATAGTCACTATATCTTTCAGCTAGTATATTTTATTATTTAAAAGCAATCTTGCAGAAATATATGTTTACTTCTTGTAAAAACTTTTAACAAAATGCTTGACACTAGAATATATTTTTTGCTAATTAGCAAAAATTATCTTACTTTTATGAAAATGTACTATTTTGAATTCATTTTGTAAACTATCGAAACATACTTTTGTACAGTGGATAGCTACTGTGCAAAGTATTCTGCTTCACTGCTTTTGCAAAAGTGGGTTTCCTCTAATCTTTTAATATTAATTCAATGATACCAATTTTGCCACCCAAAGCTAATGTATCGTGAACAATCTAACTCCAGGAATGGTTTGAACAATCTGAATGGTTTTTATTAAGAGCATATAAATAACAACAACCCTCTCGAACAGTAGTTATTAACTTTTTTTTTTGCCCCATGCACACCTTTTAACAGATGTTAGGTTATTTCCCCCTTTCCAAAGCTTGAAAAATAGATTTGGATTACTTTAAATGAATCAACTAAAAGTATAGAAAATATTGATAAATACCATAACTTGAACTAAAATAGCTTTATATATGCATAAGCTAAATAAATGACCGACCATATTCACTTCTGGTAGAACTCTTCTAGGGATTAAAAAAAAAAGTTTAAGCGACACTTGCAGTATTGACGAAATTTAAGATTGTAGTACCCAAACTGAACTCTACAAAGGCAAGACAGACCATCTTGTCCCTGAAAGGGCACCAATCACCTATGTAAAAAGCCTCCAGTGAAGGAATACAGCTATTTTTGGAGCCCAAGTCCCAAGCCAAGGTTAAAAGCAAAAATGTATGGTTCTTGTGCAGAACTGAAGCACTCTCTGAAAGTTAAGGAAAGAGCTGATATTTTGCTTATTTACTTTTTCCTAAGGTGCATACTAAATCTTTGAATATTTCACTTTGTTAGTTAAAATTCTAATTACTTCTTGATTAATTAATGGTAAACTCATATCCAGTAACCTAAAGTTTTATGTAAAATATGTTGATAAATTGTTTATCACAGACTTTCAAACAACATCAATTAGTTAAGGAAAGTTGATGAAATATCCGGACTCGTGCATTTAACCTTTGTTCTCGACATTGTGCTACTGAATTTCCTTCATGGAATGCTCAACATTACTGAATGTTGTACTGAATTCTCCCTCGTACATTAAAATTGAATATGCCGAGGCCAAAGTCAACACTTAAACTGCAAATTATCAAATGTCAACCAGGCTTATGTCTGCATTAAATGAATAAAAAATACACATCCTTATTTAAATTTATTTATTTCTCTTTTCAATTTTTTCTTAACAGTCCTAGGGCCATCCACCATCTGCCCAGTCATTAGATGGAGGTATCGGTGCAGTAGTTGCAGGTCCTACTGGTGGTATATTAGCTGGCGTGGACCAATCATTTGTCTGAGCAGACCAGTCTTCTGCAGGATCCGTATATCCAACTGTCTGAGGTTCAGCAGCAGACCACTAGAATAATAATAAAACTTATCAAATTTCATTCATAAGGTTAAAGAGAACATAATTTCTAAAGCTTTAAATGCAATGTTTATTCCCTTAAAAATAACTTTAAAGTGATGTGCTACACTAATGATAAACATTACTTATTGGGGAGAAAGAATTTCACACTTCAATAGCAAACTGAATACATTACAAACCCATTTTGTAATGGATTGAATGCATGCAGAATCAATGACAGGTTGAGAAAATTTATTTTCTTAATAGAAACTATTTATAGTTCCGGAACTTTTCACAAAAGTACTTGTACAGATCTTTTCAGAATGACAGAGCACAATCAGTAGTTACACTTCAAACTATTAAGAACGTTGAATGCAAGACAATATAAAAAGCCCCAATGTGTCATATCACACAGCAATCTCTCAATAATCTGAGCTGAATTTGACGCTCTCTCTGAATTCATACAGCTTTCTCCATCTGCCAAAAAATTTCTAGTATCTTTGATCCCTCAAAACTGGTGGAAAGCATACAGTTATATATAGGTATAGGACCAAATAGTTCCAGAGTTTGGCAAATCTTGTCAAATTTGGTTACAAAAATTGTATCTATTTCTCCGGCCAAGCTTCATTCTTGGGGGCCTTTCATGTTACATTGCAGTACAAGAGATATTGCAATTTACATACAAGTCTTTCCATATATTTCATTATGTTAAGAACTTGAGCAACATTTTTAAAATTAAGTGGCAGGACTAAAACCATATCTGAAAAATGTTACTTTTATTTCATGTGCACAATGAGAAATATTATTCCTTGATAGAGTTTTGTGATAGTCAATTAAAAAATAATCATCAACTGCAATAAAAATACGATATAATCATGTAAAAATAAGTTATAATTACTGTGCTTGATTCAAAGTTCAAAACTTTTACTCAAAGTGTGTGTGTGTGTGTGTGGGATATTACCTCTATGTTTAAATTGCCAGACTAAATAAGTTTCCTAACACATGCACTGAAAAAGATTTTTCCACGAATCCTCATTTACAACAATTTAATAAATTCCAAGATTTTGCATTCTTTCTAATTAGTTGACCTATGTGAAACAAGTGCCAGATGGTACTCTTTTTTTTTACGACCATCTTAAAATAGCGTGGCTGGAAGTTCTCTGATTAACATTAGTCATGGGAGAATGCATTTCTAGGAAAATTTTTATGTTACGTCTGGTCATGTACATCATACTTTACTCACACAGATACTGCATAACATTTAACTGGATGATAATGGAAAGAATGATGTGGAGGAATCTGATTTGTTTAAAAAGTGCAATACCATTGCATATAATGGAATAAAATATTATGACAAAAAGAATAACCTCTACAATAAAGAATTTGCATAAACAAAAAATTCATGCTATGCTGTCAGACATAAGACACATCTTAATCAAATTTAATTTCTTATACGATCTTACAGTATAAACATTTTCAAAATAATATATTAAAATATACTGATGAGAAGAGCTGCTATTAATTTAAGATTCTTTAACTGCAACATCCACAAGATATGGTAACAAATATTGAAACTTAAAAAATTATTGTGTCAAACTTACATCAGTAACTTCAGTAGGATTAGGTGCAACATCTCCACCACCCCATGGTTCAGATGGAAATTCAGGCACATCTTTGACAGGTCTTTCAGCTTGAACCGCTGCCTGCTCTTCCTTTTCAGCCTGGAAATACATATGACATTTTAGTATTCTGATAAATTACCTTATATTGTAAAATTATTAAAAATATAATATCAAGAATTAAGTTCTTACATCTTCAGGATCTCTATAGAAATACAGATCCACCATAACATCCCATTTCAGTTCACGACTGATTGTTCCTCTCATGCGCAGAACTTCTCTTGCAAGCATCCACCACATCAACCCAATGGAATGAGGCCCCTGGAAATTTGAAACTCATGAACATTATAAATGCACAAAGGCAAGATAAGTACAATTAAAAGTAAAAAAATTATGAAAATTAAGTCCAACGATTGAGATGGCCTGTTTTCCTTAGTCCAGTTACTCTTTTTATTCTGTTTACAGCATGCACTAATTTGTTTTACTCTGTAAAATGGAAGCAATAATGTATATAGACCCACGGCCAATGATTGATATTTTGCCCACCTTGTGTGGTTGGCACATGCTCTAGTGCAGTCCTGTACAGACCTATTATTCTGTTAACCTTTCATACATGAAGTAATTCTTCTTTAAAAAGTGAATAAACAAACAAATCACACGACATTTCACTTCCTACACAAAGAATTTGTTTTATAATATGGAACTTTCTACTTCCTAATCTTTTCGACGATTCTTTCTGTCCTTACGATGAGTTACTATTTTCTTACTAAATTACAAAGGGTATATAAATATTTTTTGAACTATTTCAGGGTTAAGTTAATAGTTAAAAAATATTGAATAATAATTGTTTAAAATGTTTGATCCGATAAGCTTTTTCAGCACTAAGTCTGCGCTGTGATTTCCATGACTGAAGAACTTATTTATAAATTTTTCCAGAGTATTGATTTTCATTCCTCTTGTCAATCATGGGAGTTTGCAAAAACACATTAAAAGGGTATATATGCAAAACTTGTCTCAGTCATCTTTTTCAAAGTGACATGTTACTTTGTCTTGATGATGTTTCACTCTTTGAAAGTCATAATATCAGTCGTAAAACTTTCTCCTGATAATACACCGAGTTGATTTTAACATCTTTCTTTTCTTAATTTCCTACTGTATGAGAATCCTGCAATAATCATAAACCACTTACTGAAACTTTCTTTGCATTGATGGAAACAAACATGTAGCTTTTTTTCCTTTCCTCTTCATTTTTGGTATTTTTTGTTGCAATCATTTAGATAAACCCATGCTTAATCAAGGATCAAAATGTATTTCCCACTAAATAATTTTCACGCAGAATTCTACAAATTGCTCTGTGTTGAACCATATGCCTCAGCAAAAGTTAGCGAACATTAGCTTTCTTAAGTTATAAATCTTGATTTATTATTTTATTATTGCCACAGATGTATTTAAAGATTTGCAATTTATTTCTGCAACGGTGGATTTTCTCTTGTTACCAATGATTTAACTTAAGAAACAATGCATAACCTTTCTGGGGTATTTGTTTACAGTCTTTCTTTTCATGTAGAAGTAATGACTGATGGTTTTCCTCTTTCTGATTAACAACATTGCTTATTTTGCACTTGGAAATTTTAATACCATGCATTTAACAATGTTTATGAATTATGGATCAGGAATATTTCTCTTCAGAAAGAGTAAAATCATGTCTTTCAATCCCCAGCTTGTTCACAATGTGATATTTTGGAAGAAGAATAATTTTAAAAGTTGCATATATTTCTCACTTCAAATAATAAGCTGCTCCCAGAAATTGTTATTTTTAAACATTTGCTTTCTTTAAATTTTTTTATCAAAATTGTACTAAAAATTTATTAACACCCTCTGTACATTTTACATCATCACTTACAGAAAATATAAATACACAGTCAACCGACAGAAAGTTGACATTATCCAGATTAAAAAAAATCTAGATTGTGATTAGTTACTCTAAAAAACTGAACCTCTACTATAGTTCTACCATCTAAACCCCAATCCTGCTTGGCATTCTGCCCAAACATCTAGACTCGTCGGTTGTTATTATTTGCTACAATGTGAAAGTCTTCTTCTCCATAAAGAGAGTATTTATATGCTCGAGGGTCAGAAAGTCCACATCCCCATTTTGTGAATAATTTGAACCGAATTGCGCATGCATGTTTGCTCTCATGGTCACAGATGAGGCGATCAAACTATAATAGTAAATTAAATATAAGCAGTCTTACAGGATTAGACAGATTTATTTTATCAGGGCAAAACATAATAATGCTATCTGCTTAAGGAGAAAAGGCTTTATGCAGGACTCTGCGTGTGAAACTGGCTCATAGTCATGACATAAATAATGAAAACAGGAGATGAGTTTTGGAGACTGGTGTACTTAGAGGTGATTAGATGTGTTTTCAATTTGCTCATGCTGATAGCCCTCGCTAGGTGACCCACGCAGTTTTTTCTCGTGCCATTTTGGAGTGCAATTGTTTTCGATGTGATTTACTAATGATTCTTCGCTTATGTGATCTAATGACTGTGTAATTTGGTGCATTTTCTGTGTTTTCATCATGGCGGGAAAGGAAATTCCCCCATTTATGTCTGATTCTGGGATTAAAACAATTGCTGCTCGAAATCAGCTCACGGATGATCTGTTAACATATGCAAATACAAAATTATTCGAATACTGGCAAGATCTAATCGCTAAAGAGGCCTATTCGGAAACAGAATATGTGGACGCTATGTTATTCATGGACAGAATTAAATGGAATATAAAACGTGATGCAGAGATTATTGCAGACTATTCCAAAATTGTGAAGGATGAAACGTTTACTAAACAGATGCAACTGGAATATGAAAAAACCAAAGCCTTTGGTTAAGGACTTTACAGTATTTATAAAGGTAAGTGCGATTCTTTTTTGCACTCTGAATCCTTCCTATGCAAATTTAACTCTTCATGAATTACATGTTATGAAATATATGAGTAAAATTTCTTGTGTTACTGATAATGTGAATACTGACTGTTATGTCAAATGACAATACTAATGATGCAAATGTTGTTACCCCAAATGTAAATGATGCTAGCAAACCTAAACCTCGACGAGCTTCCAAAGAAGTGTCAATACATGTTCTCAATGAGGCTCAAGATCATGGAGTTAGGAAAGGGAGGAGGGGCCAACCCACGCTAAAAATGAAGCACTGATTTGAAGCTTGGGTCACCAGATGGGGTGTTCTTTGTTTACATTCAGAAGCTCGCTTGACAAGATTCTGATAGTATTTCGACACACGACGGTTCCATAGAAATCGAAAAAGGGACACTTTCGCATGAAAGAAACATTTATAGTGTGATGGATAATAGCAATTTGTATAGTTTAGTGACATTTACGCAAAAATCAAATCTTGGTTATTTTTGGATAACTAACAACAGCGATTTTGATTATGAATTTGTTTTATAAAATTCTAAGCTGTCGCACTACAAAAATATAGATTTTTAAGAAAAATGTTTGATGCTTAAAATGAAATACTATATAATTTTCATTCAAATTATATTCATATATATTTTTTATGTAAAACTTTCGGGTGTATGCTAAATTAGTGTAAATTACTTTACACGAAAAATATAGTGAATGCACAGAAATTAAAGATTTGCACATGCCGGAAATGAAAAATAGGAAATATGTATGGGTATTTATGCATGTGCTTGCAAAAAGCATGTATCTGCCTTTGACAAAATACTTAAATATTCATTAAATTATTTATAAATGTATTTGAAATGAAGAATTTATTCACTTATAAACAACTGTGAAAGTACTGTGAAGAAATCTAATGATTAAATGTATCTAATTTATAATGATTATAAATGTTATCTAAATATATAATAACCTTAATATTGAATTGTAAACATAAATTGAAATCCTGTTGACAAATACGTTATAAAACTATTTAAGCAAGAATTGTTCGTATTGGAAAGCAATCTGTTAAAAGGTATTGTAAAGCAAATGCTATGAGATGCGCACTTAAGAACGTAATAAAGAGTTTTGGAATATGTATTGTTGAAATGAAGGGTAAAAAAAAAATCTGATAAGTATAATTAAAAGAATTATTCCCCTTACATTTTATAATAACTCAGTTACAAGTTTTAAATAATACTTAAAAAAAAAAAAAAAAACTTATTTTATTCCCTTTCAGAAATGTTCAGAGAAAGTCAAGTACTATTTAAAGTATTTCGCTAATTCCTAATAATTCTCTAATTTAAAATGAACCGAATAGAGCATTAATTATAAATTGACTTACATTTTTCGATTTAAAAGATGCCTCAGAAGCCAAAAAATCATGTCATATTTAAGAAATTATTTTAGGAAGAAGCTCTATGAATAGAAAATAATACAATAAACTTTGATCTTAATTTTTGTACCTTAACCGAATAAAATCGAATTACCTTAATTTTTTTTTCTAATGTAATTAACGAAAACTTGTGAAAATATTTCATTCAAATTAAACCATTCTGAGAAAACTGTCCTGTGAAAAGTATAGCATTAAAGTTTTGTGAACAACCAATGACTTTAAGATAACAAATGGTCAAATCTGCCGATGGCTGAAATGAAGACAATGTAAAATTGCGAAAAGAGTCTCTTAGTAAGCGCGAAAAACGACTATGGAGTGATCTCACCTGAAAAATTATTATTATGAAGTATACTAATTAAAAATTTCAGTAGCATTAAAGATTTAAAATACAGTTTCTATAAAGTGACTGAAATAAAAGATACCTTGTTATTACAGGGTATGGCTATGTCGACATAACGAAGTGGAGAATCGGTATTGCAAAATGCAATAACTGGTATATTGACGTAAGAAGCTTCGGTCAAGGGTTGATGGTCAACACGAGGGTCTGTTACAACAAGTAACCTAGGCTCTCGGAAAGCAGCTTGAATCTGATTAGTGAAAGTTCCAGGAGTAAATCGGCCAGCAATTGGAGTAGCTCCGGTGGCAGATGCAAATTTGAGAACAGCACGCTGTCCATATGTTCTGGAAGAGATAACACAGATATCGGCAGGATTTTCAATGGCTACTATAGCCCTGGCAGCAAGCAGAAGTTTTTCCCATGTCTTCCTTAAATTAATCAAGTAAACACCTAAAAACACAAAATAAATTTCATTAGATCTGAAATAAAAAAATAATATTAAAAGTATTCTTCATATGGATTTATTAATGTTATTACCTCTCCATAATTTGAATGTTGATTGAAGATCTCATCAACTTGATTGCCTAATACACTAGAATACTATACTTGTTTTGGTCAAACACTGATATTTAGCTCTTTGCTTTCATACAAACTCATGATATTAATATTTTGACTACTCTTATATGCTCCCTAAGATCACCAAATGTGGCGATATGTGTTCTGCGCTAGTTTTTGGCATGATTGCGAGTTGTACGGCAACCCTTTTGACGTTGACTCTTTTGCTGGAGTGGTTTAATTGTTCTTTGGTTCGTGTCGTGTGTGTTTTGAAATGGCCTATGTTGCAAGAGGGTCTTGGGCTGTGCATGATAAAAGTAAGGAAAAGCTGATGCAGTGCATTAACCCTTTTCCGGGCAGTGGTAAATATCCTACCACTACGCAATTTGTTTCCTAGCACTAGACGGAAAATTATTTACCATCGCCCGATATCAGAAATTGTCCTCAGGAACCACAGCTTCAATTTTTTTTCAATAGATGGCAGTACGGGCCACGTAAACCGCTACATTTCTGGATTCATTCAGTTTTCAAGCAAAAGGGAGAGGGTAAGCATGTATTTTTTTAATTTTGTTGTGTAATAATAAATAAAAACATGTTAAAAACTATATATTGATATATCTTGTATCTTAAAAGGTATGATAGCTAAATTTTATTATGCATTTAAAAAAATACAGCGAAATATTTTGTATTATACATACTTGCATTTGGTGGTAAAATATTTACCACAGCCTGCTTAGTGATTTTAGAGGTGGTATATAATTTACCACTGCTTGATCGAAGCATAGTTTTACTGAAATGTTTCGCTTTAGAAGCATTTGTTTGGCATGTTACTTGATTTCTTTGTATATATATTTATTCTAATAATTTTATATTATTTCAATTATTGATTATTATTAATATTATGGAAAATATTTTAGCATTTCTTTAGGATTACATAAATATTTAGATATTTAGAAATTATAAAATGTTACTTTAGTTTGCTATAAAGGTACTATTTTGGTCAGCATGTTCAAGCGATTTCATAATATAAGTAACTAATAAAATGTAATGAATATTATTTTAGGTAAATGCATTGAAAAAAAAGAAAAAATTAAGGAGAAATAAAGAAAAACTGAGGAAGCTGCAATCTATTGATGAAATAATGGTAAAATTCAAAGGAAGATCCACAATGAAACAATATATGCCAGGGAAACCCATAAAAAGAGGACATAAGATTTGGGCTAGATCAGATGCATCAAATGGTTATCTATATCACTTTGAAGTTTACACTGGGAAAAAAGACGATGGTTCCATTTCTGAAGGTTTAGGATATAGAATGAAAAATAAATCTAACCAGTGATTTACAGGGTACGTTTCCTCTTTTGGTGGTTATTGATAATTTTTTCACGTCAGTTCCACTGATGAACACTGTTTTAAAAAAAACATATATGCCATTCATTGGTACTGTCAGAACTGACAGAAAATAACCTTCCTGTAACTATGAAGAAAAAAAAAAAAAAAAAAAAAAAAAAAAAAAAAAAAAAACTTATGTTGTCATGTAAAAACACTGTTGCAGTGCAATGGAGGAATACCAAGATTGTTACTCTTCAACTGTACATAGTCTAAATGACATGACAGAGGTGAATAGAACACAGAACGATGGTTCGAAAAAGCAGGTTGCTTGTCCTAAAGTAGTTGCCGACTATACGAAATATATGGAAGGAGTGGATAAATTTAATCACTTGAAATCATCATATAGTAAAAGTAGGAGATCAAAGAAATGGTGGCATCGACTATTTTATTTCCTATTAGATGCTGCTCTTATCAATTCGTATATTTTGTATGGGGGACATTCACAAATTGGCAAGAAATTCTCATCTTGAATTTAGGTTGAGAGTAGCTCGCGGTCTAATAGGAGGCTTCTCTAATAAAAAACGGAAGCTGCAATCAAACTGGTTATCAGCGAAAAACGAAAATGCTATACCGAGAGAAATCCGAACAGCTAATGTTGGAACCCACATGCCAGTCAATGGAGAAAGTTACAGAAGGTGCATATATTGTAGCACAAAAGTAAACCAGAAACGTACCAAAGTGTTATGTTCAACGTGTGTACGTACCACTGTGTGCAGCTCCTTGTTTTAAATTATTTCATGAAACTCAATAGAAGTAGTATATATCTAGTTATATTCATTTCTATAATCAATTTTATATTATGAATACATATGTATTTAAATAATCGAGAATAAATAGTTTCATCAAAAATATATGTTTATTTGTGATATTTTTTGTAATGCACGTTTTTTTCTTTTGCAAAAATCAGTAAAACGCCATTGCTCACATCGGGCGGTGGTAAATATGTTACCACCCCTATTATAAACAACACCAACAACAACAAAATTTTTAAAATAGCTTTTTTGATCATGAACAAGCTACTTTTCCCTAATAATGGCATAAAATATTAATTTTGAAAATAAATGGCCTGCGCCCGATAAAGGGTTAAAGAGTGGATTGAGGCTTGCATAACTTTTTCTTCGAGTGGCTGGAATCTTACAAGGATTTAGGAAAAGGTTTTGAACATTTATTTGTGAACCATAGTATGAATTTTGCGGATAGTGAGTCTGGCTGTCATATAAATAACAAAGAGATTACGTGGCGGCATGTTAAAGATAGGTTCTGCTGTCCGAAGAAACATCTATTATGGCAAGTGCATTTTATTTTTTACTATGAATTTCTATTGTTTTTTTGAATTATTTGTAATTTTAGTTTATTTTGTTGGTATGTGTGCAATGCCTAGATTGTGCAATTCGTAATTTTTTTTAAAGTTTAAAGAGAATGCTGTGTACATAGTATTCTTTGATATTTATTGTTGTTGGTGTGCGTAGTTTGTAGATTCCTTTGCTGGCTAGATTGTGCAATCGTAGATTTTTTTAAAGTATATATTGGTATGTACATGGATTCTTGTCAAATATTTTTGGTTAGAAACTTTATTGCTTTTGCTAAATTTTTTGTTTTGGATTTAAGCTTAAATTGTGTGTTCAAAACGTGGTTTTTGCATATGCGAAAACCGCGTTTTGAGACTTCGCTGTGTTTGGCGATCTGAGGGTGCATATAAGGGTAGTTCCAATATTTTTAATTCTGATGCATATCCTAGAGAGGAATAGAAGATGTCACAATACAAGAGGTCTAATTACTACTAAATAAATGTTCTTTTGAGAAAAGAAGCTTCATTTAGCAGCAAGGGCCAAGATACCATTAATTCTCAAATAAACCATGATCATAAATGAATACAAATTTTCTATTTAAAGATGCCATTAAAAAAAAATTTCATCTACATCATTTCATGACAAAACTTCCTAGCAGTGATACCAGTTCTCAATTACATGAACCAGCTTTAATTTGCATTACGCATGGAAGTTATAAGCACTATGATATCAACATGCACTAAAGGTCCTTTAACCCTTAACTTCCCACTGTTGCATTTCTGCAACACATGATTTATTTTAATTTAACAAACTCAATATTTTTTTAAATTACCCACAAATCACTTATCTAAGAAAAAAGATTACTGCAACAAAATATATGCTACTTTTATCACTAGATGGCAACACATTTTCCCCAGAAATCATAACAATTATAAAAATCTCTGATGCCTCAAGAACTGTGTTTTTGCTATAAAGAGAATCCATTATATTTTATGCTTCCCCTTGTTTATTGACGTAATAAAATTACCAGGTAAGAAATTTAAACATTTTATGTTCATTTAAAAGTAGGTTTGATTTTCTAATGAAAAAAGTTTGAAAGAAATTTCATTTTAATTATACGTTGCAGGTTTGCAACATTGGTCTTTGGTTACCATTTTGACATGGCCAAAACGCGTATACTAACCCAAGCTGAAATTGCTAGATATATGAATAATTTGGATGAATTAAGTGATTTAAGTGAGAATGGTCTCGAATATTCTGATGATAATGTTGATTTTTTACATGATTGTGTGTCATCTAATGAAGATTCGGATAGCGACTGTGAATAGTATTAGTTCATAAAAATACAATTCAGAATATAAAAAAATCCGATGATGATAATAAATTAAATAGAAATATTTCAGTCAAAGAATCTTTTTTAAATTTAACTGTTAAGAATAATAAAAGATTGTCAAAGAATATTTTATGGAAAAATAAAAAAATTCATTGAATGAAGAAGTAATAAAATTCCATGGAGATGATACACTCCCAAGAGAAATTGTGGATTTGGACACACCATGCGATTTTTTAAAATATTTATGGACGGACGAGATCATACATAACATTTATGAAGGGAGCAAATGATATGCAATTGAAAAGAATCCAAGTAAGCCTTTGACTATATCAGAGAATGAAACAAATCAATATTTGGGCATTTGTTTTTATACATCTCTAGTTCACCTGCCAAACTATAAAACATACTGATCAGAAGAGCTTGGATCTGATTGAATTAAAGAAACAATGCCTCTTGAAAAATTTGAAACTATTAGACAGTATTTCCATTTTAATGATAATGATAAACATCTACCAAGAGATCATCCTAACCATGATTAGGCTGCATAAAATTAGACTGCTTTATGATCTAAATAAAATTTTTGCTAAAGTTACTTTAGAAAAGCATCTGTCGATAAATAGCAAATATGCTCAACTAAAGTAATATATTGTATGAAACAATACTTACCAATGAAGCCACATAAACGGGGATTTAAATTTTTTGTACTTTGTGGGATATCAGGTTTTGCACATAAATTAGAGTTATATTCAGACCAAGAAAATAATGAAAAGTATAGGCAGAAGGGTGAACCAGATTTAGGTGCTAATGCAAATGTCGTAATACGATTAGCAAGAATTAAGTCGTAATAAAAATTTACTCCACTTTGATAATTATTATACTTCTATTACTCTTTTAGCATACTTATCTAAAGAAGGGATATATTCTTTAGGAACCATAAATAGGAACAGAATTCCTAATTCCAAAATTTCTACTGAAAACGTTTTCAATAAAATGGAACGAGGACATTCAATGGGATTTGTTGGGAATTATAATGATGTAGAAATCTCTGTGACAGCATGGAAAGACAATAAAATTGTAATAATGGCCTCAACATTTGCTGGTGAAAAGCAACTTGGAAAAGTATCGAGATATGACAAGAAAACTAAAGAACGTATAGAAATTATTAGGCCTCACGTCATCGAAGAGTATAACAAACATATGGGAGGTGTTAATTTACTCGTTAGCATAATAGCTCGACACAAAACATTAATGAGAAGCAAGAAATGGTATATGAGAATTCATTTGTTTTGAATTTTCATTTGCTAGATTTAGTTACGTAAATGCATGGTTACTGTACAAGTGAGTGGAAACTGATAAGAAATCTGAAAATACAAAAATCTAATGAATTTACAAAAATTCAAATCTGAAGTTGCATCATGCTCATGCAAAATGGGGTACCATCAAAATGCTAAAAGAGGAAGACCTAGTAATACTTCAATAGAACAAATGTTTCAGACTAAAAGATGCAATCCGTTCCATGTAAAGTCTTGTAATTTACAGCACTGCTGCAACAAACAAAAAAATGACTGAAATTCAATTTAAAAAAAAAAAAAAAAATTTTCCCCTTTTATTGCTACTTGAGAACTAGCTGATGTAGTTTTTTTCACAGAAATTAAAAAAATTGGGAAGTTAAGGGTTAAAGTTGGCTGTACAAAAACAGAGATTAGCACTGGCTCAAGCATAGATTTAGACTACTATATTTTCAAAAAGGCAGCTAAGTTCTTTTCAATACAAACGGAACAATATGTACTTAATAATTGATATTAAGGATTAGTGCCCTACCATGTTTAGGTATATCAAGTGGTAAAATTTTTATGGCACACATGATCAATGACATGCAACAAATTATGTATGCATATCTGCTTTCCTAATTAAAAAATATGACACAATAAAAATAAAGTCAACTGTTTCACATAAAAATATTTATTATCCACAAAAAAAGAAGAAAGGTTGAAGTACCTAAACATATGACAAATCAAGACAAGTTTCATGGCTATCTGAATGAATACATTATATGAATTTAGAAAAAATGGAATGACTTTTCCAACAAAGAAAATAAGCAATATACACTCATGTCCAAAATTATCTTTACATACCCAAAAATGATGATATTCAATGAAATATCGAATCAATGTGATCCGTATTTGCAGGGAATGTGTGAAAACCAAGCCTAATTAGCATTATCCAATCAAAAGTAATCAAACGGTTTGTGATATGCAAATCTCGACGTTACGTCATCCAAGGGTGAATCAAGCGCTTTGCGCAAACTGAATATTTGAGTGAATTTCTGCAACATAGCGTTTGATTTCAGTGTGTAGGGACTCAAAGCGGTTTGTTATGGCTTCGAAGTATCATTTGGAAGAATCTGTAAAGTGGCGAATTATCGGCCGTTTAGAAGCAGGGCAGTCAATCATGGAAACAGCCACATGTCTGAATATTTCAAGACAGACAGTCTCTAAGCTATGGAAACAGTTTCAAAATGATGGAAGTGATGTAAGGAGGCCTGGACAAGGTCAGAAACGAATGACAACTGCTTCTGAAGATCGGTATCTGGCATTAACTGCCCGTCGTAACAGAAAGGCTACTGCTCGCCAGTTAAGTTCAGAGCTTGCAGCCGCCACTGGAACTGTTGCATCACGGCAAACAATATACAGAAGGCTTAATGAAAAAGGCCTTTATGCCAGAAAGCCAAGGGTATGTGTTTTACTGTCTTCACAGAAAAAAAGGGATCGCTTTAATTGGTGCAAAGAACATCAAAACTGGACTGAACATCAATGGTCCCATGTTCTCTTTACTGATGAGTCGCGGTTTAGTTTAACTGGTGATTCTAAATGTGTTTACATCTGGAGGGAGTCAGGAACACGAAATGATCCCTCGAACATTGTGGAACGTGACCGTTTCGGTAGTGGAGGTGTGATGGTATGGGGTGGAATAATGATCGAAGGACGTACGCCCCTACACGTGTTCAGCAGCGGATCTGTGACAAGCCAGATATATCGGGATGAGGTCTTAGATCCTTATGTAAGACTTTTCAAGGGTGCATATGGACCTGACTTTTTATTTATGGATGATAATGCCCGTCCACATCGAGCAAACCTCGTTGATGAATTCCTTGAAAGTGAAGACATTAAGCGAATACCTTGGCCACCAAACTCTCCTGACCTTAACCCGATAGAGAACTTATGGGACTACCTTGGAAGAGCAATTGCACGTATACATCCTTCTCCTAGAGATGTAAATGCTCTGAAGACGGCATTGCTGGAAGAGTGGAGATTAATTCCCCAAACTGTGGTTAACGTTATTTCCAGCCTTAAAACACGTTGTGATATGTGTGTACAAGTCGGGGGAGATCATATTCCATATTAAATTCGTAAGACTTAATTCTTTTTCTGAATCATTCCTTTTTTTTCTTGACTCTCTTTGTCACACTTTATTACCATTTTTATTGTTTCATGCTACAATTTTATATCATATGAGGTGATCTTCAATTTTTTCTTTTGCATTTATGTGTCATCATGTTATGTATGATTCCACGAAAATTCATTAAATTATAAGTCATAGTCTCTGAGAAATCCGTGAATTTATGCATGTAAACATAATTTTGGACATGAGTGTATTTCATATAGGCATAACTAACTACCTTCAATTTTTTTGAAAAGGGAAATGTCATTCTATTTTAAGGTTTGTAATGTAAGTATTAACACTTTAAATCACAGGATACACAACAGCTTCTCAGACAAAACTTATATTCATGTAAAATGTCTACTTTAAATTCAGAATGTGCATACATCTGCAAGAACAGCACTTTTATATACCATAATGCCATACTTATAAACTACCAGACCTTCATTGTAACATTTTATTTAAGATACCAATTGTTATGCTTTGTCCTTCAAGTTTTAAGAAAGATCAAAACATTTCTATGACATTTCCATTTTATTAAATCACGTAAAAAATATTTCAACAGCATTATCACATTTTAAATCTCAGTTTAGCACATACAATTAAGTGATTTAAACCTTAACTACATACATTAACACTACAATTAGAAACTGCAAAACTAATGCTAAAATCTTTCTTTTGAAAGATAATAAATATGCTATGTTAGATGGTTTAAGGACAATTGCCTGCCTGCATAATATATTTAACTAATCCTTCAGTAAGAGTAGGTATCAAAGATATTTTTCTTCATTAATTAAATAGACTGTCTACCTCACCATATTGTCGACTAGGATTTAAGAGTCAATAGCAGTATTTTATTTTCCATATCTAAATTATGACCTAATATCAAAGCTATATAATTTCAAATAAAGCAAGCCCATTTGTAAAAACGTACTTTTAATGACACATAAATGATACTTTATAAATAACAACTAACAGGGAAAAATCCCCATGGAAATACTTTTGAATATAACACATTTAACTGAGAAATAGATATCAAAAACACATTCTAAAAACAAGACCAGTAATTATGGTGATTTACAAATTTAGAGAATATGCACAACAGATATAAACTTGTATGTTATTTTACATGAAAAAATACGATTTCATAAAATATTATGGCATATCTTGTCCAGGAGGTAATGGTTCATTTAATCGATCACCAAGATCTTGTGAATGTGTTTCTGGTTCTGATTTATCAGCATCTGGTTTGAAAACTGCAATAACATCCATAATAGCTTGAGGAATGTGAGCTTTTTGATGTTCAGTGAAAGTTTCAACATGCTGGCACAAGGGATCGCGCAGATCAGGGCACGACTGCAAAACTTCTTCTAACTGAGGTGGAGGTAACTGCAATAATACTTGAAAGGACTGTGGTTTTGTTCGCTGACAACATTTAATGAAACCTTCCCATATCCTCTTTTGCTTCCAAACTTGTTTCACTATTAGTCGTTGCAGAATATTTGTAACAAAACCCAGAAGATGAGGATAATTAGCAAGAGACTGAATAACTGTTCTCATCAACAAAATTGGAAGAGGATTTTGGTCCATTAATTGCTGCATTACCATAGCTAAAACTACCTGTGTATAAACATTTTTTTCTTCGAAACATAATGAAGTAGCTTTGATAATTATTTTAAGATTACATTTTGCAGGATCAATATTATGGAGTGCTACTAGCAATTCAGCAGGTGAAAGAGGACTTGCAAAATTACTTCCCAGAAGACGATGAAATACTTCTTTAACCACTGTAGGATTGAGTTTAATAAGCTCTGGCAAAGCAGCTATAACTTCACGTTTAGTGAGACCATTAATTATTGGAATAAGGAAGCGCACATCAGGTACCCTCTTGTGATATAGGTCACGAACACGAGCTACAAGTTCAGATGATGGAGGAGCTTTGTCGGTAAGGATGTGGATTATTCTGGTAACTAAAGTTTCAGCCCCTTTTGGACATTTTTCAACAAACAGTAACAATTCTGGAGATGACATACTCATCCCTTTAACAGGAGCTTCTAAAGCTCGAAGAATTGTTCTTTTTACATCAGCTGTAGTTTCAACATAAACAGTTCCCAGATCATGAATTAAATGATGATTAATTGGCAATAATGCCAAATACAAGTGTAAACATACTTTTGTCAAATCCTCTGACCATATAACAGGTGGCTGACTGAACATTATAAAATCAGAACTTGGTGGAGTTGGATTAAGTAAAAATTTAAGACTTCTTAAGGCAAAAGCTTCAATAAAAGACTTCATATGCCCACTCTTATGAAGCTCTACTGCAGTATCTACAGCTTTTGAACGTACTTCAGATGATTCATGCAAAGTAAGATCACATATAACACTCAGAAATAATAACTTTTTTGGTGGCCTCCTAACTGTCATGCCTTTAGCTATCTGAAGAGCTTGGTTGGTAGCTGTTTCATCAGTACATATAACTTTAAGAGATTCTATCATTCCATCAGTAATAAATGGAGGATCTATGAAGAATCTGCTAAAAAGGATATTGTTCTGTTCATCATTTTCTAAAATTCCACTAAGAAGCTCATTCACCGTTTCATCATATTTCTCAATAGGGCCTTCTACAGATCCTTCAAACCCCCTGTAAGCAGCATATTCTTGATAAAACCAACTAAAGGCCAACTCTAATCGACCACGAGGATTTTCAAGAATGTGATTTTTTAAATCAGTGCTAAGGTCACCCCTAAATTGTGTAGCCAGTGTGGTAAGAATTTTTGTTCGCATAGCAGTAGCTCCTCTTTTATTTACACTTCTTTCTGCATTTAAAATTCGCTCATATGCACCTCTACAAAACTTGTTAGCATCTTCTTCATTCAAGGGCTTAGTAATAGCTTGGAAATCAAGCTTTTTTGAAAATTTAGATGTTTTTACTAGTGAGCCACTAGGCATTAGAACAAGACCAGGCTTCTTAGGCTTAATGTCAGTCATTCGACCTACAACTGTTTGTATCTGCTTTGCAGTAGAATCATCATCTTCATCATCATCGCTTTCTTGTTTTATATTATCAGTATCCATCTTCACTTCCTCAACACCTTTTCCAAGACCAGCAATAGTTAACTGCGTAGCCAAAAGTCGAGCTAAATGGCGTATTTGAGGTTCTGTCCCAGCAGCAGCAATAGGTGTATAAGTGGACTGAAAGTGAGCAGGCATTGCTTCAGGCAGACTTAACATGCTAACAAGAACTAAATCTGCAACATTTGTATTGCTGAATTTTGGAACTAAATCTTCTGCAGTAATATCAATCGCAGTATTTTTTGCTTTTAAGCTTCTTTCTGCTTTTGCGGATTCAACTTTTGAGCTCGCAGAATCATCTTCTGTTTTTATTCTTTTGTTCCATCCTTCCGTTTCTTTAGGTGCAATAGAACGTTTTTTATTTACTTCCACAGTGGGAAAACATTTACTTATTTGCTGTGGTGTTGCACCTAAATCAGAAAGCATAATAGATATACGCGCATGAAATTCTACAGCACCAGGATGTTTTACCAATGTCCATAATTGTAATTTTAAATTTTTTCTGACACTACTAACTTGAGACTGACTTAATGTTGGTGGTAAATTTGCATGCAAAGATTCAAAGGCTTGCAAAACTTTTGGGAAAAACTCAAATCTTTTCTTTCCTATAGTTGTCAGAACTTGCATACAAGCCATCAAATTATAGCTTGAGACATGAGAAGCACCATGAAAATCTATAATTCTTTGAAAAATTTCTTTTGCTTCTTCTTCCATTTTCTTCGGGCGAAATATTTTTAATATGACAGGAATGTCATCTAAAGACAAATCAAGATTTTTAGGATCTGCATACTGGTCCTTAAAAGTTTGTGTAATTACTACTGCTTCCATAAACTTGATAGTTAAAGCTCGGACACCTTCATTATCAGATTCAAGCAATGAAAAAATCTGTGTTTTAAGCTGTGTTATAGATGCCCAAGTAGCTTCCATTACTTCATCGACACTTTTTGCATTGCATAACCATCTGATGGCTACAGGATACAGCTGGGTTGTTGTCTGTATTACTTTCTTCTGGACATTTACAGAACTATCATGAAGCATCATGTTTAAATTGCCAACAACTTTTGGAAGAATCTGTGGATCTTTCTTGCAAGCTTCTTCAATGAATTGCACAACAAAACGACGGACTTCAGGATTTTGATCATGCTGAAAACTCACAACTTCATCAAGAAAGTTATCCAAAAGCTTTGGCTCTTTATGAATAATGAGCTCTTGAACAATGAGCAAATTTTTTAATGTTGCACCTTCTTCTTTAGGAACAATGGCATCATTTAAAAGCTGAACTACTCTATCAGTAGTTACAGTTTCTTGAACAGTCTCCTCTTCTACAAAGAACTGCGCTGCAGTACTGCGACGGCATTCAACTGCTTTCTTTTTGGATTTCTGGGAGGATTCACCTTCAGCTGAAAAGATGAGTTAAACACCTTAAGAAGATTGAAGCTCACATGGTATACACAGAGGCCTACAAAAGTCCTGTAATGTATACCACGTTATGCTTCTCAGCTTCTTTTAAGAAATGTTCCACAAAGTTCTTGATTAGTACAAAAGGCCCAGTTAAATTTTAAGAAAATGCTTGTAAAAATTCATTAAAATTCATATTTCAGATACATGCAAGACTTTTGATGGCCACTGTTACATTTTATAACATACAAAACAACCAATCTAAATTTACAGCAAAGTTAAATTATTAAAGTTCACTTTTCATAAAAATATTATAAAATATCACATGTGTAATCCAATGTGATTTTTCCTTTCTTGATGCACGTTACTGACATTTCAGACAGAAAGAACATGTCATTTGTCCATGAATAAAAGATATTCTTGCAAACTATATATTCACTTCAGTATAATTAAAACAGAAAAGTGCAGGTATGAAAACAAAAAGAATATAAGGTAAATTACTCTGAACACTGTCGACTGCAGTTAAAATTTTACTTAAATAGGAACACTGATTTGAATCTAGCATGCAAATGTGTATGAAGACAAAATTAAGATATAATTTTAAATGCTATTTCATTATGTTTCACCAGTGTTACTAGCATCAATTTTGGAACTCATATGTCTTCTTATACTGCTGTAATTGAGATACCTATAGATTTCAGCAGTTAATAAATAATAATAATAAATTGTATCAACCACACGCCGAGAATGTTTTACATGGAATGAAGACAAATATATCCATATTACAACAGCAGCTTTACTCCTGCTTCAAAAAGTTACAAAAAAAAGGGGGGAGGAAAGTACTTGAGGATTATTACAAAATTTGGTGGCTTCTAACTAAGGTCTAGTAAATATCCCCAGATTTTGTGCCAAACTATGGCAACCATAGCAGTAATAATCCTTTCAGTCATACAATGTTGCCATTTTTGTATGTGCTTCTTTTATTGCATTTCAAATTCCAAGTTTTTTAAAAATAAATCATGATATTTTGTACCTTAGTTTTAAAATATCTGGCTGTAGAAGTAATATTTCTACAGGAATACAGAATTTTGCTGCAAAATCTCTGAGGCATAGTGGCCAACTTAAAAATGGGAGGTCTTCATGTTGCACTGCAACACCATTTCAAAGGAACTCCATACTGACTATTCATCTAATTTATAATGCATGGTTCAGGTTATTGAACATTTTGTAATTCAGTTCTGATGTAAATATGTTTTATCACAAAAAGTATGCACTCAGAAGAAAACGAACTATCACAAAAAAAAAAAAAAAAAAAAAAAAAAAAAAAACTCAACATATATGTAGCGTACGAGACGATAAACAAATGACTTCAAATTCAGAACAAAAGTTTGTTTTATTAAGAAGTTACAGCATAAAAAGGTTACAAATCAGTAAGTAGTAGAGCCACCTTTTGCAGCTATACAAGCCGAAACATACATGGTGTGGCACAGAATCAAATAGGTCAACTAGAACACACCCTGTGGAAGATCATGCCAGCCTTTGCAATGGGCACTTAATTCATCAATATTCCAGAATGGCTGCAGTTGCCTTCCAAGCATATCCCAAAATGTGCTCTATTGGCCAGAAGTCTGGTGACCTGGCAGGTCACAGGAATATGCCATATCCTTCAAGACACTGTTGGGAGAGTCGTGCAGTATGTGGACAAGCATTGTCTTACTCATAAACGGAACCTGGACGACTTGCACAGGCAGTACAACCGGCATTAAAATATCGACGAAGTAACTACGAGCAGTCACAGTGCCTTGAGGGATGACTAGAGTTGATTGTGTATCAGAACAAATCACTCCCCATACTACGAATGCCGCTTGATAACATATGCCAGATTTAACCGCTGGCCTGGTTGCCTCCACATGTGTGTGCATTGGTCAATCAGCATAGAGACTACATCAGGATTCATCGAAGATCACACTCCAGCTTGCCCGAGTTTAGCAAACATCCAACCGACACTACATATGATGCAAGGTCAGTGAGAGGTGTCTTAACGGACATCGGCAGCATATACCAGCGTCAGCCAGTCGTCTCTTAATAGTTTCCTTTGATACCACCAGATGGCTGGATGGAGGAAAATGATGTTGAATTGATGCTAACAATGTTGGTATGAAGTGGCCATTTTTAGATTGTGCAATCCTTGCACTCACGTATGTTCCTGGTCCGCAATGGTAGACTATCCCTTCCGTGATTCGTTGTCGCCAACATCCAGCAATTACCATATTGCTCCGACCAAGGTAATGGCTGATACACCTGCTTCTCTGAGGCCTACTATTTGCCCCTTTCTCAAAGTCTGACAATTGTCCGTACTGCCACTGGTTACATCTCTAGGGATAATAATGTCCATCTAAGTCGACAGACTTGTTTGAATAGCTCTACAGCACAAGCTATCATGTTTTTAAACATTCCCAGCAGCATACATTCTTGTCCCACTGGCAATGAAATTGTTTTCTGATTGTGGCTCGATTTCTTTTGGGTGCACATATTTTTTGTGACAGTGTATACTTTTTGCGACATAATTGGATATTGCGAGTTTTATGTTTTTTTGGCCAACTTCATTTTAAGACTTTTATACTGAGAAAATCTTGAATAACGAAGGAAAGATTTTGTTCGGTTTGGTTTATTAGGTTACGGCAAAGGACTCGGGGGCTATCTGCCTTAAGGGAGGGATGCCTTCATGGAGGACTTTTTAAGGAAAACTGGCTCGTAGACACATTACACATAGGGAAAACCACGAAAACACCCATGCAGCCAGCCCGTTCGGGGGATTTGAACCTCGGACCGAACTACCAGTGTTCAGCGACATTACCGCTTGGCTGTTGGTGGACCCAATTTTGTTTGGAAAAGTACTTTTAAGTATGATGAAAATAATAATTAAAGTACATAGTGCAGCAGTATTCAAACTATGGGTAGCGAATATTTATAATAGAATCATAAAGTAGATAAAAATCCGAATCAATGGTATATAGCTAAGGATCGAAATATATTACTCCATAAAGTTTGAACACCACTAAAAAAGTATTTTATGTAAATAAATTTAGTAGACTTATGAACTGAAGTAAACAAAAACAATCGAATAACCCCTTAACTGCTGCGGCTGTATATATACGCCCTTCAGAAATGCTTTCATTTGCTTTGCGCTGCTACCAGTAAAATTATCCTCAAAGCTTTGGAATGTAACACTACAATGACAGTATGCAAAGGATATTTCAGAGAAGGGGGGATGTTTCCGAAACAATGGAAGTAGTGACTGCACATTGCGCAATTACTGGTCGTGCTTCTGTTTGAGCAAAATGTATTTTTTTAATTATCTGTCTTCTGTTTTCGTTAACTGTTTGTAGTAGGTGCTTTTTAAAAATATGCCTGACAACGATGACTAATGACTGTGAAGTTATTGCTAGTGTTTCTGTTTGAGTAAAACATTTTTTGATTCTGTGTCTTCCGTTTTAAACCTGATGTTATACTGGTCAAATAAATGATCGAAACTCCATTTTTGGGGATCTTTTTTTATTATACTTTTTCTCTAAACATGAAACTTTTGTATTTTCCTTTTTTTGTGAAAGTAAACAGTTTTAGGCAATAAAACTTGCACTTTATTTCCTTCCTAATACATCACATAATTATGTGTGCCTCTGTAAAAAACGGTGGCCCTGGGGAATAATATCTTGCATGTTTTCTGCGGCAATTAAGGAGTTAAACACTGATTGAATCTTCATATAAAATTCTACAACAGATTAAGACAACTCAGATGAAATTTAATAACAAAGATCTGTATTTTTTCTGTTATTGGGACTGGATTCAAAATGTTATGTATGTGTTGACATATAGATGTCTGTACATATGTATGTAGTCTCAACAATAGAAGAGTACACAAGGATCAATAAACTGTAATAACAAACTTTACATAAAATAAAATTTAGCCTGAAAATTGTTTGAGGTGGGAGAAATAGAATTTTCTCCAATTTAAGTTTCATAATTAACTAAATTCCATTTATTGCTGGAAAACATTTTTCTTAATAAAGGCTAAAAATCTAAAGCAGGATGATTTCATGATCTGACTATGTACAGGTATGTCAAACACATGGCCTGTGGGATTGCTATTCAAATAGTTGCTAGCGAAGTTCTCAGAAAGCTGCAAATTTGCATTACATGTGATTTCCATGTACAATAGTATATATTACCGTGAACAACTATTCTCGCTTACAAAAAACATGTTTCCAAAGATCCAGTCACTGTGAGAAACATGCCAGACCGAAAATGGTGGATATTAGGAAAAACAACACGAGTTGTTCAACATGCTTACGTACCAGCTATCTTGATAACAGCAAATAAAACTCCCAGATCTTGCATATAAAGTGACTTGACTTGTGACAGGAACCTAATTCTAGTTAAAGAAACCCCAACCTCTAAATGTGATATAACAACAACAAAATCATCTTTCTGATTATTATGGTATTGTATGAATTCAGTCAGATCGTTTAAATCAGGTATATCTTTTGTAGACAGTTCGCTAATTTATAACTGACCATCTTGATATATGAAAAATTGGAAGTGTCCACACATCATTAAGTCCCGGAGGAATTAACCATAAGCATGATTAAGATTACTGAACTACTTACAGTACGATTCTTATGCAAAATAAATTTAGCTAGATAGTCTAAAATTATCTAGTACACATTTTGCCTATTCTGCAATTTTCTTACATTTTTTCGATGAAAAAATTTTGCGAAGTGAAGAAATGCTTTTATTATTTAACAATTCACTAATAAATATATTAATATGAGATTAAAGTTAGCAGCATTTCATTTATTGATGCAAAATAAAATTAAATACGAACATCACTGATTAAACGCCCACAAAATCTTCATAAAAATTCTGCAGATATCTGTAGTAGATTAAGACAATTCAGATGAAATAAAATATTATACAAAAAATTAAGCTGGAAATCACTAAGTGCTTACAGAAAGGAATTTGCACAGTTTAATTCAAATGATTGCATTTATTGCTCAGAAATATTTTCCTCGGCAATTCTTTAAAAACCAGGAGATTCAGTAATCTACTGGAAGATGTGATGAATAACCAGTTGGTAGCTACACTCCACAATATCCAAATGCAATTACTTTAATTTTTGTGCATGTTATTCGACTTTTCAGCAAGCTTTAAAACACAGAATATATTGCTATGAAAAAAGCCTTTACAAAAAAAAAAAAAAAAAAAAAAAAGTACTTTTCAAAGATTGAAAATAATTAAACGTATGGGAAAGGTTTAAATTTATAAGATATGTATTTAGGCATTTCATTATTATTTTAAACTAAAATTCAATAGGTTAATGTACTTTTTATAAGCTCTGACATGTTACTCAATTCAGATACAGACAAAATTTTAAATTTTTCTTTCAAATCTAAATCATGAAAAATATCTGTGACAGATCTTTTTGTTTCTATGTGCTCTTTTACAGTTACTGCTTGTAAAAGTTTTCTTTCCATCTTTCTTTGATCAGTTTTAGTATATTTCCTTTAAAAAATACTATAGTTCTTATTTGACGAATTAATAAGCAATATAAAACATCTGTAAAACACATATACCCCTGAAATTAGAGATTTCTTTTGACCCCCCAAAAAACAAAGACAGATGATATAAACTAATCAAAATATCAAATGATCACTGAATGTAGAATTTGCTGCCTCTTCGATTAGCGACAATTTAAAAAAAAAAAAAATTGGCGATAAAACCTTGCTTTTGGTTACTATGATAGTTTTAACTTCCTGATTTTATTTAAATGAAAATAGACTGATGTGTACATGGACAAATTTAAGGCAGTGCACAATGCCTAGTTTGTGCAATTCTAGGATTTTTTTTTAAAGTGAAAACAGATCAATGTGTACATGGACACAGAGTTTGTGCAATTCTTTGATTTCTTTTGGTTTTGTGTTGCGTCCATCTTGAAATTGTCTTCCTGGTGCTGATCTTTGCGTCAGAAAAGAATCGCCAAAAACAAGAGGCACCCAATCGTTAACTTTTACCTATCACATATATTCAGCACAACTAACAGCAGATGATGTCTTGGGCTTTTAAAACAATGTTAAACACTTATGAAATGCAATGTTTGCTTCTGTTGCATGTTCATGAAACTTTTAAAAGTCTGTATATACAATTCATCACAAACATAAAACATTATCTCCTCAATAAATTCATTTCAAAAGAAGGTTAATACTCTCAAATATGAGGTAAAAACCTAAATATGCTAATCAAAGTCCACAACAAAATCTGAACTTTAGATTGACAAATTTATTTAATACTTAGCAACACATGGCTAATTTCATGCATATGAATACTTTAGCTCCAAAGGTATGTCAAAAATGAACTCCTCTGCCAAATGCAATTAACTATACTGATACCAGTGTTTATTCGGTTCTTATACACTTTTTGGGGAAAATGCAGAATCACCCACTGCTTGGCATGTTTTCAAGAATTGCACAAACTCGGTATCCATGTACACAACAACCTATTTTCACTTTAAAAAAATTCTAGAATTGCGTACTCCCTTGACCTTATCCATGTACACATCGATCTATTTTCACTTAAAAAGAAAATCGACAAAAATACAATTCTTCTTACTCTTGTAAAAAAGGCATCAAACAAATAAGTGAGCGATTCTGTCCTTTAACCTATTCTTCTATACACTGTGAAACTTGGCAAGGATACTGCCAAATCTGTGCCAAACAATCCTGGAGATTTCTGAGGAACAGGTGGCATTTTATTAAGTTAGATAATAAGATTCTTTCTTTTGATAGATAATCGAGAGAAATTACCATTACAACTGTAAAAAAAAGGACCTAAGCTTATCTGCCAAAGCAAATTCATTAAAACTTTTACCAATAATTTTAATGGCCGAAACTTTTGAAACTATTCCAGTGCTTGCTGTTAAGGGTAGGTCTTAATTTTTTACCTTCACAGTCAAGTCACCCAAAACACCCGACCATTCAGACATTGGCAGGCTCCCTGAATCATTTCCTACCTACTGCTTTCCTCCTTCACGTCAGTGCATTATTCATTGCTTTGGGGAATTGTTAAATGACATGCTTTTGGAGCGACTAAAAGTAGTTATGTTATTTGAATGCTCGTTCTTTCTATTTTGTTTAATGTCATTGTTTAGCTATTGATGCCAAAGTTGCCACTTTACTTAAGGAGGTTATTGTTAGCACTGTAGCTACTTGTCATAAGGGAAGGAAAGTTTTTGTTTGTCGACATGACTGACAGAAAATGTGAAGTACCATTTATTTAAACATCTTGTCATAAAAATAAGAATTTAAATTTTAAAAATATACATAAAACTTACCATCCGTCCTCCTCTTGAAAACATATTGTTCCATTTGAAAATCTAAATTAGTTGCCCCAATATGGGTTCCAGAAGCTAAGAACTTCGTGACATCTTCATCTTTCAAAGCTAAAGATGGAATACCTCCCGACATCTTGGAGTTGCCTTTTGAGTTACGTCGGCGGACCTAAAAACAACAAAAACTTCTTAAATAAAAAATTTTGCAATTTTCAAAAAGGCAGTGGAAAAATAAAATAATGTGGCTTAGTAGATAACAATATCAGCATCCTAAACAAAAAAAAAAAAGGGGGGGGGGCAAATCAATGGTAATTTTTGAAATTGGTAAAAAATATGGATAAAAATCATAGTACGCAGCACAGCCTCGATGCAATTTAGAAAATTGTTGCCAACACCAAAATGATGCACTTACTGCTCATCATAAATGTCACCAAATCCCATGTGTACCATATAACGGGATTAAACCAAAACATGTTTGGCTTAAGTTTAACAAGTGCCCCACCCCACAATGATATACATTTACAAACATCCATGACTCTGCTGTAATTCACAGGTAAGCCTATAGCAGTGAGCATTAACCACCATCTTACCAAACAGAACACAAATATCATGTAAATTAAAATGCACCCATTCAGCACAGTACATAAGTTTATTTTGTATAAATTCGGGTTATGTAAATGCAACAACAAAACTTATAAGAAATAGTTAGATTTTCGTGAAAAATCCAAATATTTCTCAGTTACTTATTCAATGATTTCCAATTCAAACTAGCACAGAAACATCAATGCTGAATCATAGTAATAATTGTCAATAAATGACAATTGAGATTACTGAGTTACCCTATAAAAATGTCTTAGCCTTTCCAGATTCCCAATGCGAAGTTAATACAGACATAAAAACTGAGCTGATACAATAACGCAGTTTAATTAGTTCCTACGATCACTGATACGACATATAATGAGACCTAATAGAATTTTATTAAGTATGCTCGGGTTTTTGCACACGGTCTCAGCATCTGCCTGCTCAGACATGTAAATTTAATTCTACATGTAATTTTGAATGATAAGCTATAGCAAAGAGAAAAAAAGTAAATGAAGATAGTCTTTTGTACATTAAATACAAACAACACTGGTGCTTCAGAATTAAAGCAGCCAGCTTGATTACTCACCAAAATTACAACAGGAGGCAACCAAACTTCGTAAATATAATACCGATATTTGAATTTTAGACTATTTTGACTGTGATATCAATTCAGCAATTAGCTTTTTTCCTCTAATAATACCCTGATATTTGAATTTCAGACTATTTTGACTGTGATATCAATTCAGCAATTAGCTTTTTTCCTCTAAAATGTTTAACATTTTAATTAATTAGATAAGAAACAGTAACAGTTTGCGCTACATTTTTGTATGTACACAGAAACTTCTGAATCAAGTCCCGGTAACAGAAAAGTACCGTTATTTATGTTCCCCACATTCTGAAGGTTGACATGCTTTTTAATATTCATCAAATTAATTTTAAATGCCATCAAAATTTCGCTGAAACATAGACAGTGCTTGCTTTCGTTTAATACTGACATAGAGTACTAAATGTAAATCAAAAGAATTCACAGCAAGATGCCTCTAGGAAAACTCATTCATCGTCAAATGTAAATTTTTTTTTGCATCCTAACATAGTATTCTAGGTTTGGTACAACTCTGATATACGCCCTAATTTCACCAAATGTGGCGATATGCGTTCTGTTCTGGTTTTTGGCGCGATTGCGTGTTGTATGGCAACCCTGTTGCCGTTGAAAAATCTTTCGCTGGAGTTCGTTGGTTCTCGTCATGCTTTGTGTCTGAGAAGCTTAGGGGGAAAGATTTAATGGTGAAAGTTGTTGAATTGAAGTTTGGCATAATTGTCGTGGCCATCCTGTTGAGGGGCAATGGGTATTTGGAGGTATGGAAAGAAGGTAAGGGAGATTATTTTAGTGGCTGTGCGTGATAGAAGTAGGGATTTGTGATTATTTGTTATTTTATTTATTTGCGAAGCATAGTATGAATTTTCTGGATAGTGTGTCCGGGTGTCATATAAATACGATAGTGATTACGTGGCGGTATGAAATTGGTATTTCTGCTGTTTGAAAAAAGCATTAATGGTAAGTGCATTTTATTTTATTCTTGTTCTTATTTTGTAGAATTTTGTGAATGTTATGTTCATTGTTTTTCTAGTATGAATTTCTGCCATTATTGTTTTTTTGAATTGTTTGAAATTTACTTTAGTTATTTTGTTGATTAGTGCATACCGTCTAAATTGTGCAATTCGTAGATGTTTTTTAAAGTTGAAACAGAACGCGGTGTACATGATATTCTTTGAAATTTATTGTTATGTTAATTTATTAAAGTGAAGTGTGCGTAGTTCGTAAATTCGTTTATTGCCTAAATTGTGCAATTCGCAGATGTTTTTTTAAGTTGAAACAGGATGGTGTGTATATTGTATTCTTTGAAATTTATTGTTATGTTAATTTATTAAAGGGAGGTGTGCGTAGTTCGTTCGTTGCCTAGATTGTGCCACTCGTAGATGTTTTTTTAAGTTAAAACATATCGCTGTGTACATGGACTCAAATCAAATAATTTTGGTTAGAAACTTCACGGTTTTGCTATCTAAATTTTTTGTTTTTGTTTCGGATTTTTAGCTTAAATTGTGTGTTCAAAACGTGGTTTTTGCATTCGCAGAAACAGATTTTTTGGAGACATTTTAGGCTTAAAGTTCGAAATGTAGAAAAAATTTTAGATAGCAATATGGCAGCGTGGAGTTCCTCGCCAAAATTGGTGCCTTGAGGGCGCATATCAGAGTAGTTCCCTAGGTTTTTTCACTGTACATAACTCTTTTAGAGCGCTTTTGAAACACTAAATTACGTACTTTGAGAATCACCAATCACGAGCCAAAATGATTTCTATAAAATGCACGGAATATTAAAATCAGTGAAAAATAAAGATACGTAACAGGTACTATATTCTGCAAAACTTTGTAAATGTTTCCCAAATATCTTAAATTTGGGCACACTTATTGATCAGGAGTCATATAATACTAATTACAAGAACTTTAAATAAAATCATCTTAATTATATAAATGAAATGCTAAAAGAATTTACAAGGCTATGCAAGAATACGTTTTATTGCAATGGCATGATTTCAACACGTGGGTAAAAAATTCTGAAGATTAAAGCGAAATTTGTATAATATTCGCTATACTGAATCATATAAGGTAAAATATATATAGTAACCTAAGCATGATAATAATACGTTATGATTATTACTCATGCCGATTATTAGGCTTACACGTGGAATACTAAAAACATTTACGAATATGTGTAATTTTACATAGGGTAAATTAAATACACATAGTTTATACTACTGGAATGAAAAGAATTTCACAATTAAATCTACAACTGAAATTCATATTAATATTTCAACAATTTAATATTCTAACTTCAGTTACTTACTCTAAAACAATGCCACTGGGAGAAACGCGCACCAATAATCTACGGGGCCGTAAAATCTGCCACAGTGTAAATTACGGAGTTACAGTTATGATGAAAGATTTGTCGAGTGATAACTTTTCAGCGGCAAAAAACTGTAGGTTTCAGGATGTTTGGTATATTTTATTTATTTATTCTTTATTTTAAAACCTTTTCCCACTTTATATCTTTAGGCTATTATTATAAATACTAATACTATTTGAAATGACCACCTTCCTGTGAAACGCACACACACAGATCAGAGCATAATATTTTTGGAGTGACGAAAATGACTCTCAAAATATTTTAAGAAAAATTTTAAAACAAATAGAGAAACAAACATACATTTATGCAGATTTTAGATTACTTAATTTCTTTAAATATAATACAGGCCTCTAATATTTGGTGGCAACAACTTAAAAAGTGATTTGCTGTATAACATTATTTTGGTTTTCGTTGCTATGAGTTACCAGATTGGCAGCATTGAGTTGTAGTAGGCAGGTCGCCACAGTACTCCCACTCCAGTGTTAACGATACCTTACAAATACTTTGGGTTGATGCGAACTCGACCACCTGAGCGTGTTCTTGTCGTAGCATCTGATAAGTCGGAAGTCCTGGTTTCTGTCGAAGGCTTGGAACAGCTTGCACTGAAGTCTGTTGGAGACAAATGCGGATCTTCAGATGGAATTTGTGATGGTGAAGACGCATTCGCTCCAGTGGCTTCTGGTGTCCAGATAAATGCCGGCTTAAGACTGTCGATACTAATGACGACTTTTTTTCGTTGACCAAAATTTTAAAAGTTTTCTCGTTTCGAGCTAACACTTGATGGGGCCCTGAAAATTGTGGTGCGAGAGAAGGCTTTGAAGCATCACATCTGAGAAAAACATGAGATGAGTTTCTAAGTTCTTTATGCACGAACACAGTTTGTTTGCAATGAGCGCTGGCAGGAACTGGTCGACTGTAACAGGATCTACTTTGCATTTAGATGGATTGACTGAATGTACGAAAACTCCAGGCAAACGGAGATTGGTACCATATACCAGTTCGGAAGAAGATGCATTCAGATCCTCTTTTAACGCTGATCGAAGACCTAGAAGTACAGTAGGTAACACATCAGTCCACTGTAATGCAGTGTGGCATCGAATTGATTGTTTTAAGGAGCGACGAAATCTCTCAACTATTCCATTGGAACTTGGATGGTAGGGGCTGGTTCTCACTTTGTAAGTGCCCAAATACTCAGTTACTGACGTGAAGAGTTGGGACTCGAACTGACGCCCTGGTCAATAGAAATCTGCTCCGGAACTCCAAATCGAGAAATCCAAACGGTGTAAAATGCCTTTGCCACAGTATCAGGTGAAATATCTACCAAAGGAACGGCTTCGGACCAGCGAGTAAATCGATCAATGCAAATAAGAATATAGGAATATCCATTAGAAGGCGGAAATGGCCCGACCAAGTCGAGGTGCACGTGATTGAAGCGAGGTGATGGCAAATTAAAATTTTTAAATTGGCTGGTAATGTGTCTGGCAATTTTAGACCTTTGGCACTCCAAGCACGGACGTGTTCAGCTGGCCAGGAGAAATTCAAATCATTTTTCCACGGAGCCCATGGTGCTATTGTCGTGTACGACGTGACACAGACACAAACCCTGTTAGAAGTAAGGAAATGGATAGCAGAAATAAAACACATATGCGTCGATGTGCCTTTCGTCACGGCTGGAAACAAATGTGACTCCCCGTCAAAAGATCGAGTGCCCGATGAAGAGATACTGGCCTTCATCGATGATTTGGTTTCTCAGATATTCATTTGTAAGTGCAAGGACTGGAGAAAATATAAGCAAGGCCTTCGAAGCTCTTACGGGTCTACTCGTGGACAGTATGCATGTGTTTAGCGTATCATAAGGTTGCGCGTTCAAATCACGTCCGAGTCACCAATTATGGTGGTAAAATTTTTTGAGACAGATAATTACACACTGCTTTTAATATAATAATTTAATTTGTATAATAGGCCCTTTTGAACAATAATAAATAAAGCGTAGCTGAACATGCAACTATGATAACAAAAACAGATCGTTAATCATATCAATCTTCTTCGAATCTATATTAACAACAGAAATAAACATTATTTTGTTTTTTTCGTTGCTATGAATTACCAGACTGGCAGCGTTGAGTTCTGGTAGGCAGGTCGCCACAATTAACATTATTTTATTCCCCCTTGCAATGCAGCGCGAAACGAATTTTAAGAGAAAGCTATGCCGGAAAAGTAAAAATACATGTGTACGTGCATTTAACATTGAATAAATGGATATCTATGTAATTTACATTTATATTGAATAAATGTAATTGACTTCTATGTTAGCTGTAACCATAATTCCACACTCATTTTGGTTTTCAGAAATCTCAAGAAGCAGAAATTATTAGAAAGATCTCGCGCGACCAATTGAAGGCTATAAAAAGCCAGAGAGAGAACATTTCAGCTCAGTTGTTTAGTTAGCTGCTGTTTTTCTTGTTGAGATTCGTTGTACTTCCGCGTAAACTGAGATAAATATGATTAACATTTTCTTTAAATGCTCTGTGAATTGCCTTCTGCAGAGCACCCCATCGAACAGGAGATAAGACCATTCCGCAACAATGGGGCAAGAAACAAATTAGTGGCCATTTCGTGGAGCGGAGTTTGAACGATAATAAAAAACCTCTTTTTAAAGCATTCAACATTTCTGCAGTGAGTGGCAACAGTAATGGACTATTCATCAATGGGCGTATCGATGGAGTTCCTTGCAATAGGACCATCGACACTGTTTGAAGAAAGAGCTTTAAAAGTTTATAACTGAAAAAAAAAAAAAAAGTCTACTTGCAATGAAGATCTGAGCAATGAATTTCGGGAGTAATGAAAAGGACTCCAAAAATAATATTTAGCAGCGATGCGAAATTATTTTTAATAAGTACTGAAAGAGTTATCCAAAATTTTAAACTTATCGAGTTTCCAGGCTGATACCATAATAGACAGAAAATCAATAAAGTGATCTAGGTAACCCGCTACAGCTGAGAGCAAGCAGAGAAACAAAATCTATTGCACATTGTAGTCTTTCCAACAGAAAATGAGATCAAAGAGGATCTTGCATCCAAATGACACTATTGCTCCTCTTCCCTTTTTTTTTTTTTTTTTGAAATTTAGTGTTTGTCCAAGTAAATTGCTTTTAATAACATCGCATATCCCTTTCCTATGTTTGTATATAAGTATAAACATTACATACTTTAAATCAGGCGTCGAAAACTTCTTTTGGCTTCTGGTAAAAATCAACCAAAATTATTTATTGTTGTGTGTATTCAGGTCAAGGGTATTTATATTTTAGAACAATTTTTCTTAGTGAATTAATACGATAAATTTTAAGGAGAGTATAATTGCAACGCACTTTTAACTTTAAATACAAAAATTAAAATTAAAATTTAATTAAAATTTCAATTCTACTTATTATAAAAACAAACATAACTGAATGAACTTTATTTTTCTTTTCGATATCAGTGGCTTCACTGATGCTAAACTTGTCGCGTCAATTAAGCCAAGTAGTTTATAGTTAGTCATCTTAAGACGAATACAAAAATCTTAATTTTCGGTAGTTAAGCTGCTCCTGTTCTTATTTAAAATAAATTTTATGTGTAAAAATATTTGCTCGCATTTAGAAGTTGAACCGAATGCGGACAAAATAGCATAGCCAGCTTTTGGAATTACGAAATATGTATCGACGTTGCCAAACTTATCGTTTTCTTCTTAAAATAATGTTTCAGTTTTTGTTTTTAAAAGATAAAATGCGTGTTTTTTACTGCAAATTTGTAATAACAAAAATGTCATTATTATTATTATTCTGTACTTTTTTATATATATTCTCTACGTGTTCGTTTCATATTTCTGTTTCATAATTTATTTTTCCATTACATTTTGTTTTATATATTATTTTCGGAACCCAAGTGGGTCATCTGAAATTGTGAGTTAGGGTCGCTCGGTTACCTTCTGATTATTAGTTTCCGAGGCCTGCTTAAATCATTGCATATGTATGAATTATTGCATATGTATGAATGTAAATTAATCGTGATTGCATTGCAAATAATAACTATTTATAGTTCGATAAATTTCTGTACAGGAACTTTAATTTTTTAAATAGTAATCTTTTGATTTCTTTGTATTGAAATGTACTTAGTTATGCAATAATACATTAATGAAATTAATGAAAATATAATATTATAAATTTTACAGTCAGTGAGGTACCCCAGGTTAAGAACCTGGATTATATTAGTTCAATTCTTCTCCGTCTTTTTTCATAACTTAGAAAGTTTATACATATCGGTCGTGAAATAAAAAAATGATTTTTATTAGGTTAGCGATTTTATTTCTGAATAACGCTCATCTATAAAATGGTTTGTGAGTGGATGTATTTAGCTGTCTTATCTCTTATCAAAAGTAGAATCACTTTTAACCAGCAACAATAGACTGCGCCTATCCCGGAAAGAGATTTTTACGGATAACTGACTATATATTTCGGAACTATATATTTCGTTGATGTTTTTGGATGACATCTATAGAAAGCGTAGCGTAAGAGATACATCGGTAATGTTTTTGATCTATCGGAAAAAATTAAATAATATCTAAAATAGTAATAATACTTAAAAAAAAAAAATTATTTAAAAAGTATATACACAGCACGATTTTATATTTCAGAAAAACAAAACTGAACAACAATTTAAAGTTACAATACTTATTATCAGATGAAAATTACGACTTTCTTAGTATGATATCATATATTTTCAAATATCTGCTTGCTTATAAGACTGTCGCGGTATTTTTAAAAATTCGCTATGTGTGTAATGAAACTTCCTTAAAGGGCGTTTCTTGTAACCTGAAAAACATTACTTTAAAAAAAATCTCTGAAAAAAAAATATCTGCAAAGAAATCTCAATTTTATCTCCCAGTCGGTGCTGTGTAAAACAATTTAAATGCAGATCTTATTAATTTTTACTTTTATAAAAGAATTAACCCTTTTTCTTTGTATACATGAAAAATACCAAAATCTTGCTGTCAAAGAAGTATTTAGAGATATAAAACTCGTCTTTTTGTACA